TATACTACACACACACACACACACACACACACACACACACACACAATCACACACACACACACATATATATATATATACTGATCTGTCGGTATACACACATACGACGCACACACCCACCTGCTGCAAGGACAGCCACAACACCAGCCATTCGGCCATGAGTGGCTTGAGTTCAGTCATGTAGAACGACCGACTCAGTAACGTCAAGTGCGGTTTGGCTTGCAGGTCGCGACTTTCCAGTCCTTTGGTGACAGTCTTTTTGACTCTATATAGATGATGGTAGTGATGTAGTGTGGGGATTGCGATTAATGGATAGTATTGAAGTAGCCTATATAGGTATGGTAGTGGCGGAGTGACAGAGTTATGATTAATGTTCTATAAATAGCACAATAACTTGGGAATGTCGATGGCTGGTCTATGGCACAGTCAGGTAGTGTGGGAATGGTGTTCCATTGTAATGATGTGGGAGCAGCCGTTAAGTAGGATAGAGCGAGAATGGTAAGTGTGATCCATTAATAGCCAATTAAAGAGGAATTCACGATCACATATTATAATGCTATGGAAACAGTGGTTGGTAATGTCAACTAAAAGATTCCCAAATTATACCAAGACACATCGCAAATCTATAAATAGATTGCTGCCTACATCTATATATAGAACTCACTTCATGAGCAGCGCTTCGGACTCATTCGACTGAGCCAGGCGTGCGGTAGTACGACCTTCAGTGGCGTAGAACAGAGCGTCAAGTAGATACAAAGGAATATCCCACCGCATTCCTTTGCGGGCAAGATCTATGGCATTTTTAGGGCCGATCGGGTAGTTGAGCTCACTCTTGAGCGGATGCAGGATCAGATCAACCTCATCCACAATCACCTGGGGTTTAAAAAGCGTGCACGCGTATTGGGCAGGAGATAAAAAACTTTTTAAATTTTATCGGTTTTTATACATATGAATTTCTGCCGGCGTAGCGAACGTAACTCAGTAACAGGACACCCATTTATCTATGCGCTGTACACAACTACTGAACACTCGAACACTCCGACACCCACCCACCCATACTCCAGCCCCAGCTCACCTCTCACACACCGCCCTTATTATCCACATACATGTACATCTCCGTGCCACACACTCGCAAATGTACACTCAGGTATGCCGCTTTAAATCTATACTACACATACACTACAACCATGCACACACAACAGTATGTTTCATACCAATACTACACATACACCACAAACACTACAAACACGCACACACAACAGTATGTTTTATACCAATACTACACATACACAACAAACATTACAAACATGCACACACAACAGTATGGTTTATACCAATACTACACATACCCAACAAACATTACAAACATGCACACACAACAGTATGTTTTATACCAATACTACACATACACTACAAACACTACAAACATGCCCACACAACAGTATGTTTTATACCAAATGCATTCCCATATCGTACGCTGTTTGGTGATGTCCAGTGTCTTTGCAGCCAGATCAGTCAGTTCGTTTAGCTTTGGCCACTCAAACACTCCTTGTACTGTGACACTCACCTGGGCAATACACACTCACATACACGCATATAAGCTGTTACTTCGTAATACATATACGTATAAACATTGCTATACACGTACGCATATACATTGCTATATATGTACACGTATACATTGCTATATATGGACAAATATACATTGCTATCCATATACACATATACATTGTCATATATGTACACACATATATTGCTATATATGTACACATATACATTCCTACACATGCATACACATACATTGCTATAGATATACCCAGACACACACCTACCCACACCCCCAGCCCTACCCACATGGCCACATCACCATACCGTCCCCTGTCTGAAGATCTCCAGCGTCCTCACAGCCAGATCAGCCTGTTCGTGTAGCTTGGGCCCTTCCACGCTCAGTGTCTTGGCGGCGCTCTTGCGGTCCCCCAACGGATCCATGAACATCTCCGCAAACTGCCGCACACGCGAGTCGGAGCTATCGCGCACAGCCGTCTGCAGGCGGTCGAGGTTATGCACCACCTCGACGAACTTGAGCTGGAAGGCTATAAATAGAAATGAGCAATGAGCTATTAATAGAATGCGGTGTGTATTGTTGGAAGACTTTAAAAAGAAATGAGCCCCGAGCTATTAATAGGATGCCGGGTGTATTGCGGTATGCCATAGCGGGACGAAACGGTGATCGGCAAAACCGGTTGCAGGCCGTTGAGGTGGTGCAATATAGTGACCTCATATAATCGTGAGTACTGGATATTACACGCACACACGCGCCAGCATATACATCACAACATACATCACACACACACACTCTCTCTCTCTCTCACACACACACACCCTTCACAGCCGTGTCTGTGGCTATTATCACTCCCTTGGTCTATCCAACATACATCACACACACACACACACATACATACATACACACACACACACACACACGCACCCTTCACAGCCGTGTCTGTGGCTATTATCACTCCCTTGGTCTCTCGTGCCTTCATGAGCTTCCGATAGACACCATAGAGCGACCCCTTTTGGAACCGATCGAACTCAAACGTATACACCGCCTTACGCACAACGGCACTGAATTTCTCGCGCAGCACACTGCGACTGAAGTCCATTAACGATGGCGGCACCACCTATACGGCGCAAGACACGCAGACCCGAAAAAAGGACAATCGGGAATAGGAATTGGAGACACGAAACGAGAATCGGGAATAGGAAGTGAGGAACTTGGAGGTGGGAGAAAATGAGGTATTGGTAAAAGTGGGAGTGAAGCGAGGAGACAAATCCGGAATTGATCTATGATTATAATTGGGAAAAGGCGGGTGATTGGGAATCAACGGGTGCAAATTTTGGACATATGGATATGGTGATACAACAAGTGATTGATAGACAACGCGAAGCTCACGAAGCTATTGCATCGTATATTATTTATATGTAAGCAAAGATTTAACTCACACACACACACAT